TGATACTAACATTTGTTTGAAAAGGTAAACAGCTAAGATCAGAGAAGAAAGATAAAAGATGTAGAACAAATTTGGAAGACTTACACTACCAGCTGTTAAAATCTGTTATAAAACTTTATAGACCTAACTGGAAATAGCACACAATCCATCAAGCTGCCACACATGTAATTTTGGGGCCTCTCTCATGTTGTATTCCTAGAGGATTGCACCCTTACTGTGAAAAGGGGAATTTCAAGACCCCTGAGGTCAGGAGAAGAGAAACCAGTCTTACCTTCGGGATGACGTAGTTTCTGAATTTAATGTCATGGGTCACCGCATGGGGCAGGTTGGTGGGGATGAGGTCAATGTATCTCTGGATCTCGTGCACCACGGCATCGGTGTAGGGCATGCGGCTCCTGTCCTGAATGCAGGGGCTCCGGTGTCTGCCAATCACATGATCAATCTCTTCCTGGACCTTAGCTGATAAGAGACAAGTAAGACTGATGGAAAAAGAGAAATGTGCCTCCCACATTTGCATACCATTTCAGGGATACATGAGGCATTATGAAGGTGTCCCAACATCATTGTACACATCAGTTATGTGACCAGACTGTACCTAGGCATAGAGAGGATCATTGCCATAATGTAAATACATATAAGTCTCCTACAAGCTAGACTCAAGATACATCTGTACATACCTCTATATTAACCTACATGATAAAACAAATGATGAGATGTTTCCAAGTATAAACAGAACATATAGTCAAGACATTATTGTCCTTGCTGAAAGAAAAACAGAAATCTGGTATTAATTTCTACAAAATAATATAGGACTAGAAAAGTTAAGTTATAACGCATGTGTTTTAGTATATTTGTATATCGTGTGTGTGCAGTGCGCAGTGGTAGTCTCCTCATCCTCCAGCTTCCCACATGCCACCACCCTGAATATGCTAGCAGTTCCTTCTGAAATGTATGTTCTATTTCTAAATGATGACTCACCACTTCTATTTTCAACTTACCTATTTTTAGACAGCATCCTCCTATGTGTGATAAGAATTTTCATGTCCATCCCTACCTCATACAAAATACACATAGACACACACAATTCCTGTTACTCCATTATCCCAAACATACTTAGACCACAATCTTTGGCTGTTAGGATATTCATTTCAATATTGTTCTGATTGCATAAACAGGGCTCCCTGATAAAGAGGACTGATTATGTTTGTTTCGGTACATTCTTGGACTTAATCATGTCTCTTTATTCAATTTATAAATTTCTGTATCTTGACCTCGAATTATTTCCAAATACTCAGGTAGGTATTCCCAATTCCGTATAATAAAATTTTCCTATTTTTAGGAAGCCTCAGATAATCACTTCCCTTTTGTTTGCTGTCTTCCTTCATACCTGCTTTATCCACCTAATCCATTTTGAAATGGATATTTTTCTAGGCCTGATATTTAGCAACAGCCCCGACACTTTCATTGTCAGTCATGAGTTCTGATTCCTGGAGCATATGACTTCCTCTCACATGACTTCAGGTGAGAAAGGGAAAAGAGGGAGAAAAATTTTGGTACAACTACCGGTCTGAAAAGATCTTTGTATTAATACACAGTTGGAGAGTTGCTCTTGAATTCTGATGCTGTTCTAAATCCTAATCCTTTACATGTGACCTGACATGTCTCTGAAAGAATTTATAATTTTCTCTGTAATTCTGTTGTTCTGAAATTTCATGACCCTGTGTCTTGGGGTGGATGTTTTTATTTCATTCACTCTACTGTACATGTTGAGAGAATTTTCTATCTACATGGCAAAATTTGGAGGTCTTTTCTCTCTCTCACTCTCCAGGGCGAATCTCAGGTTCACTCTCTGTGAATTTTGTCTAG